GCCATCCTAATAGATAGGGAGAGAGAGAGAGAGAGAGAGAGAGAGAGAGAGAGAGAGAGAGAGAGAGAGAGAGAGAGAGAGAGAGAGAGAGAGAAAAAGACAGAGACAGAGACAGAGATCAAATATACTTGACTTTAAACCTAAATTAACCACAAAAGATGGAGAAGGACATTTCATATTCATCAAAGAACAATCCCACCAAGATGATATCTCAATTCTGAACATCTATGCCCCCAATACAAGATGACCCAGATATATAACTGCAATATTACTAAAGTTTAAATCACACATTGAAACCCATACAGTAATAGTGGGAGACTTCAGTACCCCACTCTCACTAATGGACATGCCATTCAGGAAGAAAATAAACAAAAAAAAGAAACTCTTAAACATTGTCACTAAAATGGAACTAACAGATATCCACAGAACATTTCACCCAAACCCAAAAGAATATACGTTTGTCTCAGCACCTCATGGAACTTTATCCAAAATTGTCCCTTTATAGTCACCACAGCAAGTCTGAATAGATACAAAAAAATTGAAATAATCCCCTGTAACTTTTTTTGATTTTTGAGTCAGTGTTACTCTGTGTAGCTTTTTAGATCAGGCTGGCCTTGAACTCACTGAGATCCACCTGCTTCTGCCTCCTGGGATTAAAGCCATGCACCACCACCACCTGACAATCCCTGTATCTTATCAGACCATCATGGATTAGATGGATTTCAACAGCAGAAACAACAGAAAGCTTATAAGCTCATTGGAAACTGAACAGCTCTTTACAGTATTCCTACAGAGTTAAGGGAAAAAATTAAAGTCTTTCTAGAATTTAAAAAAATTGAATGCAAAGCATACCCAAATGGAAATTAGAAAATCTAAAATAAATGGACAATTTCTTTCAATAGATACCCCTTTCCAAATGTAAATAAAGATCAGATGAACAATTTAAATAGGCCTATAATCCCCAGGAAATAAAAGTAGTCATTAAAAAATCTCCCAAAAAAAGAAGTCCAGAGTCAGATGAGTTTAGCACAGAATTCTACCATGCTTTCAAAGAAGAGTTAATATCAATACTCTTCAAATTATTTTCCAAAATAGAAACAGAAGGAACATTTCCAAGTTCTTTTGGTGAGGTCACAGTCACCCCTATACCCATACACAGAGAACCTCAACAAAGAAAGAAAATTACAGACCAGTTTCCTTCAGCAACATACATGCAACTGTATTCAATAAAAACTCACAAACAGAATCCAGGAACACATCAAAAAGACCATTCAGCATGATCTAGTGGGCTTCACCCCAGAGACACTGAGATGGTTCAATATATGAAAATCTGACAATGTATTCCACCATATAAATGAACAGAAAGAAAAAAATCCACATAATCATCTCATTCGATGCTGGAAAAGCCTTTGAAAAAATCCAATACTCCTTCATGATAAATGTCTTGGAGAGATCAGGGATACAAGGGACATATCTAAACATAATAAGGGCAATATACACCCAACCAACAGCCAACATCAAATTTAATGGAGAAAACTCACGGCAATTCCACTAAAATCAGGGACAAAACTGTCCATTCTCAACATATCTACCCAATAGATACTTGAAGTTTTAGCTAGGGCAATAAAACAACTGAAGAAGATCAAGGGTATATAAAGTGCAAAGGAAGAACTCAAAGTAACACTATTTGTAGATGATATTATTATATACACAACTGCGCCGAAACGTTCTACCAGGGAATCAGTATAGCTCATAAATACATTCAGTGAATTGTCTGGTTACAAAAGTAACTCAAAAAATCAGTGACCTCCTTCCTATATACAGATGATAAATGAACAGAGAAAAAAAATCAGGGCTAAAATACCCTTCACAATATCCACAAATATTAGAAAAATGTCTTAGTGTAACTCTAACCAAGGGTGGTGGTTTGAGTAACATGGCCCCCAAAAGGAGTGACACTATTAGGAGGTGTGGCCTCATTGAAGGAAGTGTAGCCTTATTGGATGAAGTGTTTCACTGTGGGGGTGGGTTTTGAGGTCTCTTTTGCTCAAGCTTTGCTTTTGTGACAGACAGACCATTTCTTGTTGCCTGGAAGATGGAGGATTTTCAGTTACTTCTCAAGTACATATCTGTCTGCACTCTGCCATGCTCTACGCCATGATGGTAACAGACTGAACCTCTGAAACTGTAAGTGAGCCATCCCAATTATATATGCTCCTTTATAAGAATGGCAATGATTATGCTTTATTTCCACAACAATGAAGCCCCTTGCTAATACACCAAGCAGGTGAAAGGCTTTTATGACAAGAACTTCAGGTTTTTGAGGAAAGAAATTGGAGAAGACATGAGAAGATGGAGATCTCCCATGCTCATGGATTGATAGGATTAACAAAGGAAAAACATGGCCATCTTACCAAAAGCAATCTACAGATTCAATGCAATTCCCATCAAAATTCTACCACAATTCTTGACAGATCTTCAAAGAACAATATTCAACTTCTTATGGAAAGACAAAAAAAAAAAAAAACTAAGCTAGATGAAAAAAAATTCTCTACATTAAAGGAACTTTTGGAAGTATTACCATCCCTGTTTGAAGCTCTACTATATTGCTATAGTAATAAAAACTATATTGTATTGGTACAAAAACAGGCAGGTTGACCCGTCCAGCAGGTCCAGTTATTCAGGGTCTGAAGAGGTACTGCCTGAAAGAGAGTCATGGGTGGGAGAAAGAAAGGAGACCATGCAAGCATAACAAATTTTGTCACTGTCTCACTTTATTGAGGGAATAATAAGACTTATATAGGGGTGTGTCAAGGAGGGAGTGTAGAGGGAGGGAGGAGGGAAAGGGGAGCAAGGCTGCTGGTGGTGGGGCTCCAGGAACGGCCACGGAAGGGAGGAGAGGAACTGAGAAAGGAGTTAGTACATCTGATGCAAGCGGCTATCTAAAGAATGTCCATTGCCTGAAAGCCTCCTATGTTTCTTGTCCTCGGAGCTGCTTATCTCTTCCCGGGATAGAACAGCCAGTGGCAGCAGTTGCCAGGTGTCAAGTCCTTCAAGGACCTGTAGTTTTCCACTGCTCTGGATGGCCCCTTAACTTATGGCTCCCAACAGCAGGTGGGTCAGTGGAAAAGGGAGAGTGAAAGAGGAATTGGAGCAAAGAGGAAAAGGAAGCTTTGGTCATGGTGCAAAAATAAATAAACAAACCAACAACAACAAAAAGAAAACAGAGTCTCAACCAAGACTGGTCAGGCTGTACATTCTGTGAATGATTCTGTTAATTGATGGTGAAGGGGACAGACCACTGTAGGAAACATCGTTCCTAGGCCTCTGGTCCTTGGTTGTGTAAGAAACCAGCTAATCATGATCCAGAGTGGGAGCCTGAGAATGAGCTTTCAGGGTGTTTGTTATCACAGCATAGAAACATAAGAGTATATAGGTAAGACATGTCACTCTGAGAAAATGTGATTTGTACTCAGGAGTAAGACCCCTCAGCACCCTCTGTAAAAAGAAAAGGTAGTATTTAGACAGCAGTCATTGGTCAGAAAGCACATGTGCAGTCCCCTACACTTTTTTTAGTGCCCTTTCCTTTTTTTAACCAGACAGGCTTTCTTTGTATTATCCCAGAGACATGGCTGGTCTGGATCTCCAGGACCCACCAGCCTCTGCCTCATGAGTGCTTGGTTTAAAGGCATTCACCACCACTCCCAGCTGTGTCCCTTTTTTTAATCTCAAGAGAAATGTCCTAAGACATTCCTCTGAAATTTCCTGAGCACAAGATTCCTACTGCGATTGTCCTTCCCCTGGATTCACACTACTTCCAACCTTAATCCAGGCTTTCCCAGGACAAATCTGGAACCCTGTCTAGACCCTGCGCTAAGCTACTGGATCTTTTCTTTTGTCTGAGAACAGCTTTTTGCATGGGGATCTTCAAGGTCTCCTCCCTCCTGGCATCTCTCTTAGGGGAAGGCAGGATTGCCACCAGGGAATAATCTAAGCAAAGGGCAAAGGGACCCTGGAATGTCAGGGAGGACGTAGGCTCAGCCAACACATAATGCTGAAGGTTGCCTTGAAACCCTCCATAAAGATGTCCTTTCAAGGACACACAGGCCACCTCTTCCCCAACACTGAGCACATGAAACTGCACACAGCTGCTTCTAGGCCACTCATCTGGATCTTTAATTTGACTGGTGAAATTAGTGATGAAGGATTGCTCTTCACCCCTAGTCACCACTCAGCTGTTTTCTTTCCGGCCCTCAGACTTCCCTGTCATTTTCCTGCTGGGATTGAGTAAATCCCACCTTCCCAGAGCATTCAGAACACAGGGATTACTGGGTGCTCAGCTGGTTCTCTGTGTCACAAGGACCCAAAGGCATGATGGAGGCTCCTTCTGGTGCTGAGGGACCCAAAGCAAGGACACAGCAGGTGCCAGCCCTAGGATGAGTCATTGTTCTCTGAGGGACTGGAAATGCTTATCAGCCTTGTTGGTCACGTGTGTTGCTTGGAGGAGAAACATAAAGGGAAGTTAAGAGGGATGCAGGTTAGCACTGAGGGTGGAAGGAGTTTGATTCCAACCCCACACTCATAGCCCACTGGATTCTGGGAAGTGCTCCAGTCTGAGAAAGAGGAAGAACACCAGAGCCTGAGTTCTGTGTTGGAACTGAGACCCTTCTCTTCAGAGACAGGACAGAAAGCGAGAAGATTGATGGAGGAGCCCTCTGTGCTTCTCTGTAAGGGGTCTAGCCCCTGGCAGGGGCTTCTGCTCACAGGTAAGGGTAAACATTCTCTGACCATGTGAGGAGGGAAACTCAGAAGCAGGCTGGAGTCTCTTAAAGAGGACAGGTGCTTGAGAGAAAACTCAAGGATTTTGTTTGCAGTTATGGTGCGTCAGGTAGGGTGAGGGACTGAGGCTCAGTAACCTGAAGCTATCAGATGATAAGAGGTGATGATGGCAAGAAAAAAAACCCAAACATGTCATATTCACTGTGAATTACATTGGCTGCATGACTCTCAAAATAGAAACCGAAAAGAAAGAGCTATGGAGACATCACAACCCGAAACCAATCCTCAGCTCCCACACAGTGGTTGATGGAGAGAACGGTATCCTGCAGGCTCTATTCTGCCCTCCACATAGATGCTGTGGTGTGAACACACACGCACATGCATGCCCTGACACATGTGCCTGCACACAGATTTGAGGCATACATCTTCATGGGTGCACAAGGAGACACCAGCCTTTACTAATACACAAAGTATATTTACGTAATGAAATGTCAAATCATTCATTCCACACTTGAATAGTATTATTGTCATAAGCTCCAAACCTAGGAACTATAAAGAGAAATCTATGGAGACCCATTTTTCCTTCCTTCTTCCTTTCTTTCTTTCTTTCTTCCTTCCTTCCTTCTTCCCTCCCTCCTTTCCTCCCTTCCTTCCTTCCTTCCTTCCTCCCTTCCTTCCTTCCTTCCTTTCTCTTTTCCTTCTTCCACTTGTGTCTGAGTCTTTTCGAAGAACCAAAACTTCCAAAAATATCAGACTAATCCTGCCCTTACAAATCCCTTGTTGTGCTGGGTGGTGGTGGATCAGGCCTTTAATCCCAGCCCTTTGGAGGCAAAGGCAGGCAGATCTCAGTGAGTTCAAGGCCAGCCTGGTCTACAGAGCACGTTCCAGGACAGCCAAGCTACACAGAGAAACAGTCTCAAAAAAAAAAAAACTAAACTAAAACCAAACCATAATTGAAACATAACAAACAAACAAAAATCCATGGTTCTAGTGGACCCGAAGTCAGTATATCTGAAAGATGAAGTCATGGATTGGTTAGAATTACAAAGGAAAAGAGAAAATCACAAAAAAGTAAGGACTCTCCAGAGAAGGATATCAGAGAGGCGTTGCCCCTACAACCAAATACACTATGTGAGGGGGACACAGCAGGGAAGGGGGAGCTGTTAGAGAAAAGAGAAGAATTCCTAAGAGAGTTGCTGACACACTCAGACGTTAAATCAAGGAAAGGCATGTTGCTCATGTCTGCAAAGAAAGTGGGCACAGCCAGGCGTTGGTGGCGCACGCCTTTAATCCCAGCACTTGGGAGGTAGAGGCAGGTGGATCTCTGTGAGTTCAAGACCAGCCTGGTCTACAGAGTGAGTTCCAGGACAGCCTCCAAAGCCACAGAGAAACCCTGTCTCGAAAAATCAAGGGGGGGGGGCACAGCCCTACTAACACACCAAAGTTGAGAGATTTTAAAACCTGTTTAATTTTGATGGGTTTTCTCAAATCTCTTCTAGCCTCACTTTTAACCTTCTACCACCTGTCTACCACTGCCCATGTGATCATTGAATCAGTGCCACCCCTAGTGGCCAAAGGAGATGATGTCCTTTTCCTGGTCCGAGATCTGCCAGAGAATATTCAAACCTTAGCCTGGTTCAAAGGGCTAACAAATACAACAGACAAAATTGCAGAATATGGACTGTTCAACAATGTAACTGAGCCAGGGTCTGTACACAGTGGTAGAGAGACAATATATCTCAACGGATCCCTGCTGATTGAAAAGCTCACTGAGAAGGACATAGGATTCTATACCCTACGAACCTATGATGAACATGCAAAAATTGTATCAACAACACCCACGTACCTCCATGTGCAGGGTAAGTGATTCATTGTGAACTCTGAGAGCTGGATGAGGTTCATTTCACTGGTCACACACAGGAGAATGGTCTGTGCCTATCTTCTCTATGCACTGCGGCCCATGCTGAGGTTTGAGAATTTAGTTCTAGACACATATGGTGTAGGATAATGGCAATAGATCAGCATCCTTAGTTTGACTTCACCTTGCACATAGGTGGATGTATGGTGTGTAACTCATTCAAGGATATCAGCCCCTGTCTAGACTCTAGGGGTTCTTACCAGAAATGTTTCCTTGAGAGAGACTCCTCCTTAGGAATCAGCATTGTGCCTGGTTGTGGAAAACATGGGATCCTCACGGAGATGTGAACATCAGGATGCCCTGCTCCAAACCTCTGTCCCAGAGTCAACTCCAGGTGTCCATAAAAGCATTTTATAAGTACTGGATATTGATTTTCTGATGGCAGGTATCACTGCTCCCTATTTGCCAAAGACTTTTGATGTGTGAAAACAGACAGTGCACTGTCATGAGAACCTTACTTGGGCTATATCCCTTGGCCACCTCTTTCAGAGAGTCAGAAGAGGAATATAGCTCAACAGGTGTTCAGGCCATTAATTAACTGTCCTATATGGCATATGAGATTTTACATGAAGGTCATGTTCCCCAAAGAGAGAAATCCAGGACATAGTTTCTCCTTACAAGTGCTTATCCTCTGGGTCCTGCTCAGGGAATTCTCTCCTGTAGGCAAATGGCTACAGTCTATACCAACCTGATAGCTTCACATACGTGAGCTTTAGTTCCCCCAGTGATTATCATGGATGTCATCAGGACACCCAATGAACTGGCAGAAAGTTATTTGCCTGAACCAGGAATGTACCTAGTAGCCTGGTTCCACGCCTGCTTTTACAAACCTAGAAATCATGGTAACAGCATTCTCAGACTTACTGGTTATCTCATGTGTCTGCTACACTGCTAGGAGATCATGTTCTGTTTCCTACTTTATGTGTTTCCTTTGGGAAATACATGACATCCATGGGGAATCCATGGGGAATCAATAATATAGAAGTCCAAGGCATGTCAGTAGGATCACAGAGCACATGGATAGACCCTTTCCACAGCTCAGCAAACAGAGGATGTGGGAGCATGGTCTTCAAAATCTTGCACAGGATGAAGGACCTTACAGCCCTTTTCCAAGAATCAGGTCACCTCCTCCCCCACACCCAAGATGTGAGACTCCTGACACATCCTAGGCACTTGACCTCAGTGAAAGCCCCGTCCTGCGGTGACTACAGTGAGAATAGATATATTCTTTTCTGCACACATCACTCACCTGGTCCCTTTGGAACCTCCAAGACAGTTATGTCACCTTCCCGCTGGGATCAAGTTCCCTGTTTCCAGAACATTGAGAACACAATGCAGACTGGGAACACAGCTGGGTTATTTTCTCACACACTTGTGCTGATTTCCCCTTTTTGGTACTGACCAACCTTGGCCAGGACACATCAGAGTGCAGTCCCAGGGTCAGCTGCTATTATCTCATGTCACAGGGATGGCCATTACCTTCGACTCTCACTGTGTATTCTAGAGGACAGAAATATAAAAAAAGAATGGGAAAGGAACACGGGGCAGCACTGAAACTGGAAGGGCAGAGCAGTGTTTGGAACACAGACCCACCCTCAGCCCATGGGTCTCTGGGATGTGCTCCTTCCTGTCAGAGGCTCAGCTTGGATGGGGGAAGGACAGCAGAGACAGTGGGCTGTGCTGGAGCAGAAATCCCTCAGAGGGATGACAGGTCAGCCAACTGAGACAATGGAAACACCCTCAGTCCTCCTCTCCAAAGAGTGCACCACATCTCAAGAGTGCACCACACTCACAGATAAGGAGTCCAGGAGTTGACAGTGTGTGAGGGGAGAGGACTGACACACTGTCTGTAGTCTCACAAGTGGCCCAAGGACATGAGAGGAGTCTCGGTGTTTGTAGGGGAGAAGATACAGAGGGGGAGAAGGTTGGCATTAGGATGTTCTCATTGAGTATTAAACAGTAAGGGTTGGGAGACTTAATTCTTACACAAAGTTTTGGAGCATGGCCATAATATTCTGAAGACGGATGCTCTCAGCTTGAGAATCCAACTGACAGTCAAGCTGGTGTTGATCACTGACATGGTCTAATAGACATAGACATTCTTTTACTCTCGACACGTACGTCCGGTTTTTCTAGGCAGCATTTTTTAAAAAGAAACAAGACAACTCATGGTTCTTATGATGCCCCCGTTCATGAAGTCAAGAAAGCTAGAAGGTGAATTCAGGTGTTGGGTGCAAGCACAAGAAAAGCAGAGCAACAACAAAACTGGAGAGTGAAGACAGGGTCTGTAGGAAAGAGGGGGAGCAGGCTTCACCCCAACCACATCCATTGTAAATGAGAACAGGGGTCTGATGGCAGTAAGCTGGAGAAATATTGACATCTGAAGAGAAGGAGCCATACAGTGGAAATGACCAGTATGGGGACACTGAGAACAAGAAGGTCATGTGCTAACCCCCACCTAGTGGGAGAGGTTGACACTCACGCACAAACCAATGCTAAGCAACGACACAGCTTCTCAGAACACAGGGCCTCATCTTAGTCAAATACAAATGTCCCAATTTATATGGATCTCTCTCTTCCATTCTAGATTTCCTCTGGAACTGTGGGCGCCATGCCACCTCTGCCCAGCCCACTATTGAATCAGTGCCACCCAGTGTTGCTGAAGGGGGGAATGTTACTCTAATCATTCACAATCTCCCAGAGAATCTTGAAGTCTTTGTCTGGTTCAAAGGAACATCTGTGCTCTGGGAACATGAGATTGCCCGATACATAGTAGGCAGCAAATCAAGTATTACAAGTCCTGCAAACACTGGCAGAGAGACGTTGAACAGTGATGGATCCCTGGTGCTTCACAATGTCACTCAGAACGACACCGGGTTGTATACCCTACGAATTCAGAGTACAGATCTGAAAAGTGAAGAAGCCCATGTACAACTCCAGGTTCACAGTAAGTGATTCTCTGTGACTGTTCAGTGCTGGGTGGGGCTTAGACACATGGGGCTGTCATGCCTGGACTGGTCACATTTCTCTCCCCAGTGCATCCCCATGTGGTGTTTTGCATTTAATTTAGGACAAATATGGTAGAGAGAAATGGCCAAAGATCAGAATCCATCTTTTCACCCCACCAGCATCAAGGAAGACCTTGATGGAACATAATTCATCCTAAAATGATAGAGCCAGTCCAGTCTCTTGGGGCTCTAGATCATGGAGCCCTGAGCCCTCTCATCTTTCTAAGGCTGGACTAAAGTGACCCAAAGGGAGCACTTTTCCAATACTCTTGCTTCCTGTCAAAACTGAGAGGGTAACAATGGTTTTAGAACATCCATGTTAAAATGGGTCATGTATTAGCTCCATATTCACAGTGTAATACATAAAATTCAAGAGCTGATAGAGATACCATGGAGGAGTGTTGCCTACTGACTTCCTCCTCAGGGCTTTCCCAACCTTCACTCTTATATCACCTAGGTCTGCTTGCCCAGGGGTGGAACCGCCTGCAGTGGTCTCAACCCTTTCATCTCAATTTCCAATTTAAAAAATGTAGTATAGACTTGTCCCCAGGCCAATATGGTGGTGGCATTTTCAATTGAGTCCCTGTACAGCAAAATGACTCTCACCTGTGATAAGTTGACTTAAACTACCCAGTCTAGTACGCAAGCCTTTTCATGACCTGAGTATGCCATGAAGATCAGACTGGTCCTGGATCCCACCCAGTCCCAGTCCTGAGGGCTGGCAGGCAGGGAAGCCACAGCATCTACAGTGAGACATCAGGACTTGATTGAAGCCACAAAGGAAACTTAAAAGAAGAAACCTATAAATTAATAATCCCAGTCATGCTGAATTCATGGGAGGCTGCATCTGAATCCTCATTGTGCCTGAGTGTGTGATGTCTGACTGAGAGCAGTGAGGGAACAGTCATGAAGACGCAGGAGGGGAG